ACAAGAACAAAAAGCCACAAAGTTTTGAAGTTGGCGACTTGGTGTGGCTACACTTGAGAAAAGAGAGATTTCCTAACAAACGAAAGAATAAATTGATGCCAAGAAGTGAGGGGCCGTTCAAGATTATTGAGAAGATCAATGAGAATGCATATAAGCTTGAATTGCCGGGAGAATATGGTGTAAGCGCAACATTTAATATTGGGGATTTGGTGAAGTATTTGCCAGATGGTGCTATTGAAGATTTGAGGGCAAATTCTTTTGAAGAAGGGGAGGATGATGCGTGCATCAATGTGAACGATGAGCATGTTGAAGAATTATTCCAAGAAAGTCAAGAAAGCATGAATCTATACTTGGAAGCTTCTTCAATAGGTCAAACTTACTATCGGGGGCATTAAGACAAAGCCACGCTTTGTATGGTGGCGTTCTTGGGAGTTCTTGAAGCTTCTTGATAGTTCTTTAAGGTTTCTTTAAAAGCTTTCTTAGGTTTTTGCTTACAAGTTTTTACCTTTCACTTGAAAGGGTTTTTCTTGTTTTAAGCACTTAGGATTTCTAATTGCATTAGGAATTGTTTTAGTCTAGTAGGCGTCAATAATAGCTTGGAGTGCAAGCTTGAGTTAGGATAAAATAGGCAAGTTTTATCTTAAGAGTAGTTAGAGTTTAAGTAGGATTAAATAACTAAATCAAAGTTATCTAAACTTGATTAAGTTATGCAATCCGTGGGTTTTTGTTAGGGGATTAGAATTCTAATTCAAGTGGGATTAGGATAATTGATTGAGTTTATAAATATAGGGTTGTAATCTTCGAATAATATACAAGTTTAATCATACATTCATAATAATATTTCTTATTGCTTTTGTTTAAGTTGGATTACTTAAATTCTTGATTGGTGGATTCCAATTTGCTGTTTTGTTTGTTTTAGTTAAAACAATCACCTAGGTTGATTAATTAGGTGGATTCTTGATTAATTAATCTAAGTTTCTTGCTTAATTCTTGGTGAATTTTCTGTATAGAATTAGGTTAGATTCATATCTTTGTGAGGCTTAGTTTTCGGACTAAAAATCACATCAGCTTTGTAGAATGCATTTGACTTTCATTTGATTCAATTAGCTTTGTTGAATGTATTTGACTTTCATATGATTCATAACGTTTTGTTTGATTGTGTTTGACCTTCATTTGATTCAATTAGCTTTGTACAATGCATTTGACTTTCATTTGATTGAAATAGCATCTTTGAATGCATTTGACTTTAATTTGAATCAAAAAGCTTTGTTTAATTGTGTTCGACTTTCATTTGATACAATTAGCTTTGTACAATGCATTAGACTTTCATTTGATTCAATTAGCTTTGTTTGAATGTGTTTGACTTTTATTTGATTCAATTAGCTTTGTAGAATGCATTTGACTTTCATTTGATTCAATTAACTTTGTTGAATGTGTTTGACTTTCATTTGATTCAATTAGCTTTGTAGAATGCATTTGACTTTCATGTGATTCAATCAGCTTTGTTGAATGCATTTGACTTTTATTTGATTCAAAAAGCTTTGTTTGAATGTGTTTGACATTCATTTGATTCAATTAGCTTTGTAGAATGCATTTGACTTTCATTTGATTCAATTAGCTTTGTTGAATGTATTTGACTTTCATATGATTCATAACGTTTTGTTTGATTGTGTTTGACCTTCATTTGATTCAATTAGCTTTGTACAATGCATTTGACTTTCATTTGATTGAAATAGCATCTTTGAATGCATTTGACTTTAATTTGAATCAAAAAGCTTTGTTTAATTGTGTTCGACTTTTATTTGATACAATTAGCTTTGTACAATGCATTAGACTTTCATTTGATTCAATTAGCTTTGTTTGAATGTGTTTGACTTTCATTTGATTCAATTAGCTTTGTAGAATGCATTTGACTTTCATTTGATTCAATTAGCTTTGTTGAATGTATTTGACTTTCATATGATTCATAATGTTTTGTTGATTGTATTTGACCTTCATTTGATTCAATTAGCTTTGTACAATGCATTTGACTTTCATTTGATTAAATTAGCTTTGTTTAAAGCATTTGACTTTGATTTTATTCAAAAAGCTTTGTTTGAAGGTGTTTGACTTTCATTTGATTCAATTAGCTTTTTAGAATGCATTTGACTTTCATTTGATACAATTAGCTTTGTACAATGCATTAGACTTTCATTTGATTCAATTAGCTTTGTAGAATGCATTTGACTTTCATTTGATTCAATTAGCTTTGTAGAATGCATTTGACTATCATTTGATTCAATTAACTTTGTTGAATGTGTTTGACTTTCATTTGATTCAAAAAGCTTTAATTGAATGTGTTTGACTTTCATTAGATTCAATTAGCTTTGTTTGATTGTGTTTAACTTTCTTTTCATTCAATTAGCTTTGTAGAATGCATTTGACTTTCATGTGATTCAATTAGCTTTGTTGAATGCATTTGACTTTTATTTGATTAAAAAAGCTTTATTTGAATGTGTTTGATTATTATTTGATTCAATTATCTTTGTAGAATGCATCTGACTTTCATTTGATTCAATTAGCTTTGTTGAAAGCATTTGACTTTCATATGATTTAAAAAGCTTTGTTTACTTGTGTTTGACTAGCATTTAATTCAATTAGCATTGTTTGATTGTGTATAACTTTCATTTGATTCAATTAGCTTTGTAGAATGCATTTGACATTCATTTGATTAAATTAGCTTTGTTTAAAGCATTTGACTTTGATTTTATTCAAAAAGCTTTGTTTGAAGGTGTTTGACTTTCATTTGATTCAATTAGCTTTTTAGAATGCATTTGACTTTCATTTGATTTAATTAGTTTTGTTGAATGCATTTGACTTTCATTTGATTCAAAAAGCTTTGTTTGAATGTGTTTAACTTTCATTTGATTCAATTAGCTTTGTTTAAATATGCTTGATGTTGTAACCAAGCCTAACAACTTGGTTATGGACATTTCGTTGGTTCAAGATGTAGCATCATGTGTTGGTGCTATGCATTCTATCCTTGAGCAGCAAGATATTCAACCTCTTGAATTTCTTGTTGTTCTTATTAACTAAGTTTATTTTAAGCTTTGAATAAATTGTAAACTTTAGTCTTATTTTAAGTTTGCAAATTTAGTTATGTTCTTTAGTTCTTTTAGCTGGACATGTAATGTTACATTCACATAAAGTACAAGATTATGATGCATCACAAAAGCAGCCGTTTAAGCTTGTGAAGAAGACCTAAAACCGAAACTAATTTGGAGGGATTTTAAGGCTCTAACTTGGATGTTACAATCAGCTTCAATGAGGAGTTACAAGCTTTCAATTGAGCCTTCAAGTGGCCGTTTATTTCAGCTAGCAACAGCTACACTCAAGAGACGTCCAAGTTCATCCTTGTCCACATCCATTCAAGCTTGATTCAAGGCTTGAAATAAGGAAGAGTTACACATCAATTGCTGTTTGAAAATGGGCGTGAAAAGGGGAGTTGTTACGACTCCAAGCTGCTGCTATATGGGCGTGAATCAAGGGGAGGTTACACTTGCTTGTTTCTGATTTTATTTCACTCATAATTTGGAGGTTATAAACCGCCATTTGCTCTTGATGTATCTAGTTAAGCAAGGCTTCTTTTATTAATGTATCTAGGCTACAAAAACTGATTTGTACTTAGTTTGAACGTGTAACAAGTGAGCTAAAAGCCACTTAACTTAGCTTGTACTTAAGATGCTTGTTCACTATAAATAGCAAGCAAATGTGAATGAAAAATCAGATTATTCCAAACAAACAACTTTGTCTTTATACACGTTTCTTGGATTAGAAACTAACCTGAAATTCTTGGACTTAGAATTTCGTTCCTTTGCTTAGTTAGCTAGTTTAGGCTACTAGTTAGCTTGTGATCTTAGGAATCCAATTCGTTTCTTAGTGGTGTGACTTTATCTAAGAAGCCTTTTGGTTCTTTAGCCTTAACTATCCTTGGTTTAACCCTTGTATGTTTCGAGTGTCACTCCAAATATACAACATTTGGCGCTAGAAGGAGGGGGATCTAGCAAACAATACCCAAACACATACCCCAAACACATACCCAAACACAAACCATGTCCGACATTCCACCCCCTAATTGGCAAGAATATGTCAATAAGGTTGCACAAGAGAAAGAAGATATGGAGCAACGAATGCAATACTTGCAAGGTCAGCTAAGAGACCTTTCTATCAAATTGCGACAACAAAAAGAGGGAGTACCCAATCATAGTGATGAAGAAGTGAGTGAATCTAATTTCAATCACAATGATAGGCCTTATCATGAAAGAGAAAGGTCACGGCCTAACAATGACATCAAGGCTGACATTCCGGAGTATGATGGCAAACTCGATGCTGATGAGTTTGTAGAATGGCTTAGAACGGTGGACAGAGTGTTTGACTACAAGCAAACACCGGAAGAAAAGAAGGTGAAAATTGTAGCCTTGAAGTTAAGAAAATATGCCTCAACTTGGTGGGCTAGCGTGAGTGCCAAGAGGGAAAGGCAAGACAAGGAGAAAGTAAGATCGTGGATCAAGATGAAGAAGTTGCTTAAACAGAAGTTTCTTCCCACATACTATGTGCAAGAAAACTTTTCCAAGTTCCACAACCTCAAACAAGGTACGAAATCAGTAGAAGAATATGCTAGAGAGTTTGAAGGGTTTGTTATGAAATGTGGAGTGGAGGAAGACGAACCTCAAACATTGGTGCGCTTCTTGGGAGGACTTGACCCTAAGATAGCCAATGTGGCCGAACTACATCCTTACTCTACCCTTGAAGAGCTCATTATCTTAGCACATAAGATTGAGCAGCAACAAAAAGCAAGAGGCAAAAGTGAATCATCACGTTTTGCATCTCAAACCTCATTTCCCCAAAAGAAGCAAATATCCAATTTCTCTCCATTCAAACCCACGTCCAACCAGCCTACTCCTAAACCACCTTCACAAAACACCCAAAATTCCAACCCAAAACCAGCTCCAAGAAGATGTTTTCGGTGTCAAGGCCTTGGACATTTGGCTAGTGATTGTCCAAATAAAAGGATTGTCACTTTGATTGAGCATGAAGAGGAGGACGAATTAGAGCATGAAGTGGACAGCAACCTCGAGGAGAATGATGAGTATGCGTGTCTTGGACCAGACGAGGGAGAATGCTTGGTGGTTCGACGCACACTAAGCAATATGATTGGCCAAGAAGGAAGTTTGCAACGTGAGGCAATCTTTCACACTCGTTGTACCATTGGTGGAAAGGTATGTACCTTGATTATTGATGGAGGTAGTTGCACCAATGTAGCTTCACAAGTAATGATAGACAAACTGAAACTTAAAACCGTCCCTCACCCTAAACCTTATGTGATTCAATGGCTAAACCATGGTAAAGGAATTCAAGTAACACAACAAGTCTTGTTATCATTTAGCATTGGTAAAACTTATGAGGAAGAATTGTGGTGTGATGTTATACCTATGGATGCATGTCATATTTTACTTGGTAGACCTTGGTTGTTTGATAGACGTGTGATGCATGATGGGTATAAAAATACATATTCCTTCACTAAGGATGGACGGAAAATACTTCTTACCCCCCTAAACCTCAAAAACGGACACCCCATTTCCACACCCCCTACTTCCCTTACCACTCTCATAAAATCAGAATTGCATGAGTATAAAACTCACAAACAATTCATTTTAAGCCAACTTGATACTCCTTCCAAACCTTCACAAGAAAAGCCGCATCCTCTCCTCACCCCTCTTCTCAAAAATTTTTCCCATGTCTTCCCCGAAGACATTCCCCATGGCTTACCCCCAAGTCGTGACATACAACACAAAATTGATCTTGTTCCCGGATCAATGCTCCCAAACAAACCAGCCTATAGAACCACCCCAAAAGAAACCGAAGAGATTAAGAGGCAAGTGGAAGAATTACTATCCAAAGGTCTTATTCGTAAGTCTCTTAGTGACCAAGATGGTCAAGGGTCACTCATCCATGGTCAAGATAAGGAAGTCCAATACGGTGCTAGTGAGCAAGGTACTGAGGGAATCTTTTTGTCCAAATCATTCTTCAATCCAATGCACGGTTTTAGTCCAAAGAGTTTAACAAATGGTTACACTTCTCTTAGTGTAACTAATCTTGTTGAAGGCATCTAGTTAATGTGTCGTTTTTCCAAGCTTGAAGCCACGCATGATTGATGCATTTGAGAGTTACATTGGACTGATTATGAAGGCGTGATTCAAGGCTTGTGTTGGGCGTGAATTAAGGCATTGGTTGGCTGATTATTCTACCTCTTTACTTGGGGGTTATTTGTACTTAATTAGAGAGTTGTTGCTGGAATAAAGGAGCTTGAATCAAGGGTTTAAATGGGAGGTTACAAGCGTGACTCAAGGGGGGCTGTTTGCACGTTTCTTGGACGTTGAAGATGCTCTTTGAAGACTTCATGTTTGCTGAACGTTTCCTCTTTAATTTAAGCATAGTTTTTAAGCTTAATTGAGTAGTTTTATTTTGTTGTTATGAGGGATTAATTGGACGGTTATATGAGCCTTTTAATCACCTTATAGTTAGTATCTTATTTTGTCTTTTAAATTAGGCAAGTGATGGATGATCATTAAAAGTTGTAAAGAGGAATCCCATGTTCCTTTATGTAACTTATACACTACTATAAATAGTGTGCTATGCATGAATGAAAAGTATCCAGAAATTTGCTTAAACACTTGTGTTTTGATTGATTAAACGTGACTTAGTAACTAGTCATTTTTAAGGTCCAAGTTTGTTAGCTCAAATTTGAAGAGTGCTAGTTTTGGTAGAGTGTTCCCAAACCTAGGAGCTTGCGTAGTGAACGAGTGGGTTGAGTGTTCCCTATTCCTAACTACACCAAGCAAAGGGTGAGTGTTCCCCTTTGTTATATCCGAAACTAGGGTGAGTGTTCCCCTATTTTCACCTTCGTTGTTCACGATTTCACTAAGACCCCTTAAAACATACTTTTGTAACAAGGTTCTCATCTTGTTTACACATCATTTGGCGCGTCAGGTAGGGGGTGTTTTTCTAAACATTTCCTAAGGGGTCGAATACCTACATACCATGGGAGAAAACCCGGACTTAAGGACAGCGTTGGAAGCTCTTAATCGATCCATTGCTAGTCAAGAAAGGTTGGCCGAAACCAATGCCAATCTACAAGGGAACCTTGCTGCCTTGATGGCAAGGCTCATGAACGAGCAAGATAGGAGAGATCAAAATGAGGACCCTCCACCTAGGAGGGAGGATAGAAGCCTCAAAGTGGACGTTCCTTCTTTTGATGGGACACTTGATCCAGAGAAGTACTTGGAATGGGAGAAATCCTTGGAGAGGTACTTTGAATATAAGGACATTCATGAGGATGTTCAACGTTTTAAGATTGCCAAAGTCAAGCTTAAAGGCTATGGTGATAGTTGGCTACAAGGAGAGCAAAGGGGACGTGCCCTTAGGGGGAAAGCTCCTATCTCTACTTGGGGCAAACTCAAGAAACGGATGAAAGACCGTTTCATCCCACACAATTACAAGCAAAGTCAATATGTGAAGTGGAGTACCTTGCAACAAAATGGGGACTCTGTGGAGGATTACATAAAAGAGTTTGATAGACTTGCTATTGTGTGTGAAGTAACCGAAAATGAAGAGCTCAAGATGGGGCGTTTCGTATCTGGTTTGGACCAAGAATTACAAGACAAACTTGAAGGTTATACTAACCTCACGTTTGTTGAAGCTTGCAAATTGGTGATTAAGTTCGATGCTAAGAGGAAAAAGAAGAAGCCTACTACCATCCCTCAATTGGCACGAAAACCTTCTTTCCCTACAAAGGAAGGGTCTTCCTTCAACAGACCGAGTAATCCACCAAAGAAGGACACCAAGGACGTGAAGCTAGGTGACATTGTGTGTTACAAATGTGGAGGACGAGGTCATTACAAGAAGGATTGTCCTAATACTAGGGCGTTAACCATACAAGAGGTTAAGCTCATGGCCACTCAAAACATCAACTGGGATGAGTTTGAGGAGGAGGAAGAGGAAGTTGAAGATGATTGTGATGATTGCATGGCCGAGCCAGAGGGGAAGACTAGCCTCGTGATTAGGAGGGCCTTGCAAGCACGTGTGGAAGAGCATGCTGCCCCCCAACGCCAACACATTTTCATCACCCGTTGTAGAATTGGTGACGAGGTATGTGATTTGATTATTGATGGAGGGAGTGAGGCTAATACCGTGTCTAAGACCTTAGTATCTAAACTTGGTCTAACTACTACTAATCATCCACAACCTTACAAGTTGAGTTGGTTAGATTCAAATGCTAGCACCGGGGTTAGGAAGCAATGCATGGTTTCTTTTTGTGTTGGTTCATATTGTGATTCTATATTATGTGATGTTGTGTCTATGGATGCTTGTCATATTCTACTTGGTAGGCCTTGGCAAACGGATAAAAAATCTATACATGATGGGTATCACAATACGTATACCATAGTCCATGAAGGGAGGAAGAAAAAACTACACCCTTTACCACCCCCACGGTTTTCACCATCACAAACCCCACAAAAAGAAGTATCCTTGTTGTCTCTTAAAGAGTTTGAGAGGGAGTTGGAAGGTGAGGGAGAGTTGTTCATGCTGTACTCCAAGGAAACCCACGAAAAATTTGTTGCTCATAATCCTAGGTTAGCCCAATTGATTAAGGATTTTGAGGACGTTTTTCCGGATGAATTACCTAAAGGACTACCACCCATACGAGGAATTGAGCATCAAATTGATCTCATTCCCGGAGCACCCTTGCCAAATAAACCAGCCTATAGATGTAACCCTTTAGAAACTAAGGAGTTACAACGACAAATTGAAGAGCTAATGGGTATGGGTTATGTGCGTGAGTCCATGAGTCCATGTGCCGTTCCTGCTTTGTTGGTCCCTAAGAAAGATGGTACTTGGAGAATGTGTATTGATAGTAGAGCCGTTAATAACATTACCATCAAGTACAGGTTTCCAATTCCAAGGCTTGATGACATGCTTGATGAGCTGAGTGGTTCCAAGGTCTTCTCAAAAGTAGACTTGAGAAGTGGGTATCATCAAATTCGCATGAGAGAAGGGGATGAATGGAAGACTGCGTTCAAGACAAAGCATGGGTTGTATGAGTGGCTCGTCATGCCATTTGGCCTTACAAATGCCCCTAGCACGTTCATGAGATTAATGAATGAAGTGCTAAGGCCATTTCTTGGCAAGTTTGTGGTAGTATACTTGGATGACATTCTCATTTATTCACGTGATGAAGAAGCTCATTTTGATCATCTTTTTCAAGTATTTTCTGTTTTAAGACAAGAAAAATTGTATGGGAAACTAGAAAAATGTGATTTTTTATTGTATGAAGTCATGTTTCTTGGCTATATAGTTTCAGGTGATGGCGTGAAGGTAGACCCTAGCAAAATTGAAGCAATTCAATCATGGCCTAGTCCGAAGACACTCACGGAAGTTCGTTCATTTCATGGACTTGCTTCTTTCTATAGAAGATTTATCAAGAATTTTAGCACACTCATGGCTCCCATAACTGAGTGTACTAAGAAGGGGACGTTTGAATGGACTACACAAGCTCAAAAGGCCTTTGAAGAAGTCAAGGAGAAAATGTGCAACACTCCTATTCTCGCACTTCCTGATTTTTCCAAGCCATTTGAAGTTGAGTGTGACGCAAGTGGAAAAGGTATTGGTGCCGTGTTGATTCAAGGTGGGCGTCCTATTGCCTACTTTAGTGAGAAGATGAGTCAAGGCAAGTTGAATTACTCCACCTATGACAAAGAGTTCTATGCTATGGTAAGAGCTCTAGAACATTGGTCACATTATTTGAGACCACAACCTTTCATTTTGCATTCCGATCATGAATCATTGAGGTTCATACATGGTCAAAAGAAGCTGAACGCAAGGCACGCAAAGTGGGTCGAATTTTTACAAACATTTAACTTTTCCTCTAAATACAAGAGTGGGAAAGCTAATGTGGTTGCGGATGCCTTGTCTAGAAGACATAATTTGCTTGGAATGGTTGAAGCAAAGGTACTTGGGTTCGATTTGATCAAGGAGTATTATCAAGAAGATGATGAACTCAAGGGGATAATTGAAAAATGTGTCCATGGAGTCTATGATCTGTTTTCCTTACATAATGGTTTTCTTTTTAAAGGAAATAGATTATGTATTCCAAAATGTCCCATTAGAAGTTTGTTGATACATGAAGCTCATGGGGGAGGACTAGCTGGTCACGTTGGTATTCACAAGACAATGGAGCTTCTCCAAGCTCACTTTTATTGGCCGAAAATGTTAGCCACGGTTCATCGTGTGGTGAGTCGTTGTTCTACTTGTCAAAGAGCAAAAATGGTGTTTCACAAAGGTCTCTACAAGCCCTTGCCAATTCCCGAAAGACCTTGGGAAGATGTTAGTATGGATTTTATTGTAGCTTTGCCTAGAACTCAAAGAGGCAAGGATTCAATAATGGTGGTGGTTGATCGGTTCTCAAAAATGGCTCACTTCATTCCTTGCCATAAAACTGAAGATGCAATGAAAGTGGCTAAGTTATATTTTGAAGAGGTGGTTCGTTTTCATGGGGTGCCACGCACCATTGTGTCGGATCGTGATACTAAGTTCCTAAGTCATTTTTGGAAGTCTATGTGGCGTTTGATGGGAACCAAGTTGTTGTTTTCTACCTCACATCATCCACAAACTGATGGTCAAACGGAGGTGGTGAATAGAATACTTGGTTCGTTGCTTAGGGCTTTGGTGAGCAAAAGTACCAAAGATTGGGATAATAAGCTTGCTCATGCCGAGTTTGCTTATAATAGGACACCTAGTGCTACTACAAAGTATTCTCCTTTTGAAGTAGTCTATGGCGTCAATCCTTATGTTCCCATTGATCTTATTTCTTTGCCAAAAGACAAGTTCGTTCATGGTGGGGCAAAGGAGCAAGCCGAGTTCATGCTTAAAGTCCATAAAGAAGTTCGAAGAAACATTGAAAAGGCAAATGAAATCTACAAGAAACAAGCCAACAAACGAGTGCGAAATGTGAAGTCTTTTGAAGTTGGGGACTTGGTGTGGATTTACATGAGGAAAGAACGTTTTCCTAGCAAAAGGAAGAACAAGCTTATGCCAAGAGCCGAGGGTCCGTTTGAGGTCATGGAAAAGATCAATGACAACGCATACAAAGTTGATTTGGGAGGCCAATATGGTGTCTCAAGTACATTCAACATTGGTGATCTTGCTCCTTACTTTGATGATGACGAATTGAGGGCAATTCCTTTTGAAGAAGGGGAGGATGACCAAGATGGTCAAGGGTCACTCATCCATGGTCAAGATAAGGAAGTCCAATACGGTGCTAGTGAGCAAGGTACTGAGGGAATCTTTTTGTCCAAATCATTCTTCAATCCAATGCACGGTTTTAGTCCAAAGAGTTTAACAAATGGTTACACTTCTCTTAGTGTAACTAATCTTGTTGAAGGCATCTAGTTAATGTGTCGTTTTTCCAAGCTTGAAGCCACGCATGATTGATGCATTTGAGAGTTACATTGGACTGATTATGAAGGCGTGATTCAAGGCTTGTGTTGGGCGTGAATTAAGGCATTGGTTGGCTGATTATTCTACCTCTTTACTTGGGGGTTATTTGTACTTAATTAGAGAGTTGTTGCTGGAATAAAGGAGCTTGAATCAAGGGTTTAAATGGGAGGTTACAAGCGTGACTCAAGGGGGGCTGTTTGCACGTTTCTTGGACGTTGAAGATGCTCTTTGAAGACTTCATGTTTGCTGAACGTTTCCTCTTTAATTTAAGCATAGTTTTTAAGCTTAATTGAGTAGTTTTATTTTGTTGTTATGAGGGATTAATTGGACGGTTATATGAGCCTTTTAATCACCTTATAGTTAGTATCTTATTTTGTCTTTTAAATTAGGCAAGTGATGGATGATCATTAAAAGTTGTAAAGAGGAATCCCATGTTCCTTTATGTAACTTATACACTACTATAAATAGTGTGCTATGCATGAATGAAAAGTATCCAGAAATTTGCTTAAACACTTGTGTTTTGATTGATTAAACGTGACTTAGTAACTAGTCATTTTTAAGGTCCAAGTTTGTTAGCTCAAATTTGAAGAGTGCTAGTTTTGGTAGAGTGTTCCCAAACCTAGGAGCTTGCGTAGTGAACGAGTGGGTTGAGTGTTCCCTATTCCTAACTACACCAAGCAAAGGGTGAGTGTTCCCCTTTGTTATATCCGAAACTAGGGTGAGTGTTCCCCTATTTTCACCTTCGTTGTTCACGATTTCACTAAGACCCCTTAAAACATACTTTTGTAACAAGGTTCTCATCTTGTTTCAAGGTTCTCAAAAATTTTTCCCATGTCTTCCCCGAAGACATTCCCCATGGCTTACCCCCAAGTCGTGACATACAACACAAAATTGATCTTGTTCCCGGATCAATGCTCCCAAACAAACCAGCCTATAGAACCACCCCAAAAGAAACCGAAGAGATTAAGAGGCAAGTGGAAGAATTACTATCCAAAGGTCTTATTCGTAAGTCTCTTAGTCCATGTGCTTGTCCTACTTTGATTGTGCCTAAGAAGAATGGAGAATGGAGAATGTGTGTTGATAGTAGGTCAATCAATAAAATCACTATCAAATACCGGTTTCCTATTCCAAGATTGAATGATTTGCTTGATGATTTGCATGGTTCTAAAGTGTTCTCTAAAATTGATTTGAGAAGTGGCTATCATCAAATTCGAATTTTCGAAGGAGATGAGTGGAAAACCGCTTTCAAGACAAAGGAAGGCCTCTATGAATGGCTTGTGATGCCATTTGGTTTGTCTAACGCACCATCTACATTTATGCGCCTTATGAACCAGGTTATGCAACCTTTCATGGGTAAATTTGTTGTAGTTTATTTTGATGACATTTTGGTGTATAGTAGGGAGGAAGAAGAGCATTCCATGCATTTGCAACAGGTTCTTGAAGCCCTTGAACGTGAGAAGTTGTATGGTAACTTAGAGAAGTGTCATTTCTTCACTTCCCAAGTTATTTTTCTTGGCTTCAAAGTTTCATCACAAGGCATTGAAGTTGATGAAAAGAAAGTTGCTGCAATTCGCGAGTGGCCTACACCACAAACCGTCCAACAAGTTCGAAGCTTTCATGGACTTGCTTCTTTCTATAGACGATTTGTGCGGAACTTTAGCACTCTCATGGCACCTATCACAGAACTAACTAAAAATCAGAAGTTAGTTTGGAATGATAAGGCTCAAAAGGCCTTTGATGAGGTAAAACATCAACTTACTAGTGCACCTATTCTTGCTTTGCCTAACTTTGATGAAGTTTTTGAAGTTGAGTGCGATGCTAGTGGAGTTGGTATTGGTGCTGTTTTGTCACAAGTTGGGCGTCCCCTTGCCTACTTTAGTGAAAAACTCAATGAAGCACAACGGAAGTATAGCACCTATGACAAGGAGTTCTTTGCTCTTGTTCGTGCTTTGGACCATTGGAGGCATTACCTCATTTCCAAGGAGTTCATCCTTCATTCTGATCATGAAGCTCTCAAGTATCTTCAAAGCCAACAAAAACTCCAACCTCGCCATGCCAAATGGGTGGAGTATTTGCAAGCTTTTCATTTCGTGATCAAGCATAGGAGAGGCGCCATGAACAAAGGGGCTGATGCGCTTTCAAGAAGATACACACTCTTGAACTCGTTCAAAGCAAGGGTGATTAGTGTCGAAGATGTTAAAGCAAGTTACAAAAATGATCATGATTTTAGTGATTTGTTTTTAAAATGTTCTAATCATGCTTACAAAGATTATTACATTTTAGATGGCTATTTGTTCAAAGGAAACAGGTTGTGCATTCCAAGATCAAGCCTAAGAGAATCTCTTATCAAAGAGTTTCATGAAGGAGGAATGGCGGGACACTTTGGCATAGAGAAGACTACCCTTCTTGTCCAAGAATACTTTCATTGGCCTAGATTGGTTCGTGATGTGGAGTTCATTGTGAAAAGATGCGTGACATGTCAAAAGGCCAAGAGTCATAGTCTACCTCAAGGCTATCTTTTGCCCTTACCTATTCCGCAAGCACCATGGGAGGATATTAGTCTTGATTTCGTGGTGGGACTTCCTATCACCCAACGAAAGAAAGATTCTATAATGGTTGTTGTGGATCGATTTTCCAAAATGGCCCATTTTATTGCTTGTCATACAACTTATGATGCTACTCATGTTGCTAACTTGTTTTTCAATGAAATTGTTCGTTTACATGGTGTACCTAAATCCATGGTGAGTGATCGTGATCCAAAATTTCTAAGTCATTTTTGGCTTACATTATGGAGGAAGATGGGCACGAAATTGAACTTTAGCACTTCAAGTCATCCTCAAACAGATGGCCAAACCGAAGTGACTAATAGAACTTTGGGATCCTTGCTGCGGTCTTTGGCTACTAAACGCCCCAAGCAATGGGAAGAGATGCTTCCTCATGCGGAGTTTGCTTACAATCGTGTGCCTAGCAAGACAACAGGTTTGAGTCCTTTTGAAGTGGTGTATGGATTCAATCCGTGCACTCCTATTGATCTCACTCCCATTCCCTCACCAAACAAGTTCAACAATGATGCCGAGGTGCGTGCAAAAGAAATCAAGTCTATGCATGAGCAAGTTCGTTCCAAAATTGAACAAGCTAATGCAAAGACAAAGGCATACTATGACAAGAAAAGAAAGGAAGTCCATTTTCAGCCCGGTGATTTAGTTTGGATTCATCTTCGAAAGGAAAGATTTCCTTCCAAAAGACGGTCCAAGGTTAGTCCTCGTAGTGATGGTCCATTTCCCATTGTTGAAAAGGTGAATGATAATGCTTACAAGGTTGAGTTGCCCGGAGATTATGGTGTTTCTAGCACCTTTAATGTGGCTGATTTGTCACCTTATTATGATGAGTTTGAAGAGTTGCCGAGTTTGAGGGCAAACTCTTTTCAAGAAAGGGGGAATGTTGTAACCAAGCCTAACAACTTGGTTATGGACATTTCGTTGGTTCAAGATGTAGCATCATGTGTTGGTGCTATGCATTCTATCCTTGAGCAGCAAGATATTCAACCTCTTGAATTTCTTGTTGTTCTTATTAACTAAGTTTATTTTAAGCTGATGCGTTTCTTGATTCGTTTGGTCTTAGGTTTAAACAAGCTTCACTCGTTTGTTTTCGCCTAAGGGTTCTAAATCTGATTTCAAGGCTTCACTCACCTTAATCTCGTGATTTAGGGGTTTTTTGAGGATAGTTTGAATTAGCTTCACTCACTAATTAATCTAACCTCTCTTAAATCAGGTTTCACTCGCCTAATCTAAGGGTTTTTATGTTTAACTTCACTCATCAAACACAAAGAAAACTTGGAAAGAAACGTTCCAAATTAACAAGCAATAAAGCTTTAATCAACAAAACAAACTTCTTCTTTAATTCAAAGTTTACAACCTTTATTTATAGACTCAAAACTAATTCTAAACCTAATCAAATTAGAAAACTAATCCTAATTAAATTAGAATCCCATTTGACCTAGAAAACCTAAGAAAACCGAAACTTGATCCCCAAGTTCCTAATTCGGATATGACTAAACTAACTAAGTTTAATTCAACTTAGATTAGGTTATTCAATCCTCCTAAAACTCCTAGACACGCCTAAAAACCAAAGTCAAGTCCTAATCCAATTAGGAATTTACTTTGCTAAAAACAAGTCCTAATCCAATTAGGAATCTCTTTTGCTAAAGACAAGTCCTAATTCAAATAGGAACTCACTAGACCAAAACAATTCCTAATCAAAATAAAAATCCTAACGCTTAAAACAAGAAAAACCCTTTCAAGTGAAAGGTAAAAACTTGTAAGCCAAAATCTAATCTAAGAAACATTAAAGAAACGGACCAAGAAAGGAAACGTTGAATGCATCCGCATCATACTCCTCCTCTTGAAAACGAACTTGTCCTCAAGTTACATCATAACAAGGAACGAGATCATTTGCGCTAAGAGAAGCACAAACGCCTTCACCAAGTAGCACTTGAAATGTATCATAATTCTCCCTATGCACGATTTTAAAAGGCCCTTCATCAAAGGATTCATGCTTGTCTTTGCGGTTGTTGTATAACCTCTGTGCACTCAAAGAAAGCCACACATAGTCACCTATCTCAAATGGAGACTTACGAACAAGTTGAAGCACTCTATCTTGCTGCTTGTCTTTCTTCTTCCTCTTACTTGAACCACCTTCATCACATGTAGAAAGAGAAATAACCTTGCTGCCATCATGTTGCATAGGTTCGAATTTAGGAGGTAAAGGTTTTAATCCAATCCTTTTCCCTTTATGTAGAACTGAAACCACATTCTTCTTTGCAAGGTAGATCACATCACGATCAAATTGCCAAGGACGGCCTAGCAACAAAGCACATGCATCCATAGGAACAACATCACACCATACTTTGTCTTCAAACTCACCAATTGTAAAAGAAACCAATGCTTGTTTCGAAACATGTACTCCTCCAACATTTGTGAGCCAATTAAGTTTGTAAGGATTAGGATGGTTCCTAGTCTCAAGCTGCAATGTATCCGTCATCTTCTTAGAGCATGCATTAGTACAAGAACCATTATCCACAATAACTGAACAACTA